TAGATACCGAGATTTGGGCAATAGCATTGTGAGTGGCTTCCAGCTAGCAACCCTCTCTGGCCCCATGTGTGAAGAGCCTCTCATGGGTGTCTGCTTTGTTCTGGAAAAATGGGACGTAAGTAAATTTGAGGAACAAGAAACAAGTGATAAACAGAATCAAGAACAAAGTGATCTGGTGAAAGGGGGACAGGGAGAAGTTAAAACCTGTTCTGGTAGAGATGAAAACCAAGAGCAGCAAGATGACTGCTCAGAGCTCTTTGAGAAGAGGACAGCCCAGAAAGGGGAATCTCCACTCACTGACTGCTACGGACCTTTCTCGGGACAGCTCATTGCCACCATGAAAGAAGCATGTCGCTATGCACTGCAGGTGAAACCTCAGCGTCTGATGGCAGCTATGTACACATGTGACATCATGGCTACGGGTGATGTTCTCGGTAAGGAATGAAAGGTAAAGATAGTGAGGAATGCCCTGAATAGCACCGAAGTCTCCTAGATCCAAAAACTTAAACTCTTTATTTTGCAGAAGCTACATCATCATCTAATTTACTAAGGAACTAAGATTTCTGGAAGCTAGGGGCCTTAAGGATTAAAAATCTTGAGAGGGTAAAAACATGACTACTAAACACCTTTTGCAGTAAATAGAATCTTTTCTGCAGTGGAAGTTCTGGTAAATGAGGTTAAAAATGACCATATATTTTACCATCCAAACCTGTTCAGCATTTTTTCTCACGTGAGTAAGTGTATCAGTCTGGGTAACCAAAGTTGTTCTGAAAATGATCAAAGAATAAGGCAACATTCTTGTACTTATAACACAAAAGGGCTTTTGTGAATTCCAGGTTCTTTCTGAAGAAGAAAATTATTTGGGGCGTTATTCACTGCTAACCATTATATCAAATCCTATTCCTGATTGTTCTGTTTTTGGGAGAAGCAACCTTTATGATCTCAGGAGACATGGAGCCCTGGCACTTAGTAGCTCTTTTGACATTTGAATGATGTTACTTCACGGAGACTTACTTTCTTCACCTATAAAAAGAGAATACTCATATAAATTGTGAAAACTAAAATGAGAACGCAAATTCAGTGCCTAGAACAGTGCTAGCACACAGTAGTTCTCTCATTCTCTTGAGATCATGGAGCTGTTTCAGCAGTAAAGAGAGCGTAAAGGAGGATTGAGCACTGGATGGGAAAGTGGACCAAATTCCTAGGTTTCCTCTAGCGCTGAGGTCCTTCGAGTCAATATGTGGTTAACTACGTGCCTTTTAGTAAGGTTCTTTTGCTGATTAACTCCTGAAAGCAGAAATCTAAGCTTTTTTTCCCCTCAAAAAAGAAATTTAGGGAGGGGAAAAAACCTTACTTGCATCACAGTGAGGTTTCTACGAGACGAGCTGAGCATCCATCCACAGCTGGGTTAAACAAAGTTATGTAGATCTGCTAACTGCAAGATCACTTAAAGCCAGTGTGTGCTATAGATTGAATCTTCAAATATGACATGTAATATATAGTGTTTTCAACCTTATTTGAATGCAGCATGCCTATTAACATCTCATAGAATCCCTAGGTTGGTTTGGAAACACCAATCTAGACCATTCCCAGATGTTATTCATTTTTATCAAGAACTTTCTTAATTTAAGAAGGCAGAGATACAGTTAAAATCAGGGAATCTTGATTCCTTCAAATGCTTGAAAAAGACCTAAGAGCTCTTCTCCAGTCTCTCTTACCCTGACTGATGCTTATACCACCTCTGTTTGAATACTTCTGTTGATGGGCAGCTCACAGCCAGTGCCATGATTAGATGGTGTCTTTCCTATATTGAGCAAAAAGTCTGTCTCCTGTTAGTTTCCAATTATTTGTACCACCATTCCTCTTTCTTCCACACAGTAGCATTTCTACATGTATTTGAGGAGAGCATTAGTTTTCTAGTTTTATTTCTAGGTGAAGATTCTCCGGATGCTTCAGCTGTATATCATGATAAGATTTTTGTACTCTTTCACCATTCCAATTGCTGTCCCTTGGACGTACTTTATTTAGTTAGCATCCCTCTTAAATAAAGCAACCATATTGGACGCAGCACCTCAGTTATCATCCAACCAGTACAGAACACAGGCTCACCATGGCCTCATACGTAAGGTACAGCATTCTTTTCATGCAGTTTAGCAATTGCACCTTATCATTAACTCATGTAGGAAGTCAGGATCAACCCCATTTCTTTTTTAAAAAATAAGTTTTATCTTCCCACTCTGTCCCTCAAAAAGCAGGATCCAAATTTTGGTGACTGACTAGACTGTAGAAATTACGGTGTCTCATGAACTATATTTACATATGAGTACACTGAGTCTTAATTTTTTAAAGTTATGTGATGTAATAAGCATTACAACAGTAGTAAAGGAAAAAAAATTTTAATGGCAAGAAAAAGAAGCCACAACATCACCATCTTAGCACATTGATTTCTCTTCC